AATTTTAATTTCGTTATTGTTTATTGAAAGTTGTTATAATTAATTACCAAAAAGAAAAAAAAATTGTTCCATCAACAATTATTATGTAATGGAAAATAAAGGTTAAAAATAAAATGCACTATCATACTTAAAAACATTTTTAAATTACATTGGAGATTAGAAAATATTTGAATATAAAATATAATAATTTTTTTACGAAAGTTTACAACATTACAATTTCATGAAAGTTAATTTAAATTTCCCAATTCCGTTTTACTCTATTATTGAGCAAAACTCTATTATTGAAAGTATTATAGAAGTATAAAAATTGTAAAAACACTCAATTTATTACAAACAGTTTGGACCCTTTATTGATAGCACATGATATTTGATAAGAATTTTATTGGTTTGTGCCGCTATCTTACATTATAATTCTCACCTTTCAATGTTTTATTAAACTTAATGTTTAATGTTAATAAAAAGTAAAAAGTAAAGTTATTGATTTTTAATTAAAAATATTATGTTAAATACACATAACCAGCATGGTAGTTTTGCGAAATGAAAAATGAATTGAAAATATAAATTTACGTAACTATTTGTATTATTAGTGTTTTTTTTTTAAACTAACAATGATACTATAAGTAATAATTATAACACCATACCATTTATCATTATGTTCGATATTGTATAATGTTGAGTTCACAATAATAATCATCTTTTAGTAAACACATATATGTGCATTAGAAGTCATATATATACCGCTCAATTGAAATTGGAGCACTTCACCTTTCAGCAAAAAATTAAAAAATTTCAACATTTAGATTTAAAAAAAAAATAAAAAAAAATATGAAAAATTTAAATGTCGTCAAAAAACATTTTGACATTTGTATTAATTTGTTTTTGTGATTTAAAACTTTTGTGTCTAAATAATGATAAAAACATTCTAATTGGTCTTATTATTTACTTCTTCTTTTTCTTCTTCTTGAGTTAGTGCTATTACGTACTTTTACTCTATAATGGCTGGGGGGATTATCACTACCCCACACTAGGCTTTAACTAGGCTAAGAAATCAAATCATTTATTTGTCTTTTAGTTGATAAATCAGCTTATTTTCCTGAGAATCCAGAAGTGGACTTGAGGATTGTTAGTGCGGGGTTAAGTAGCGTATCAATTTCAGTGAATAATTTTAGAGCTCTGTCTCTGATATATTTTTTCACTGAGTCAATCCTAAGATCTCTATGTACGTCTGTTAATCTAATATACCATGGAATTTTAAACAGTCTTCTTAAAGCCAGGTTTTGAGCTATCTGTAATTGCTTTAAGGTAGTATTTGAGGCTTTGCTATATGTAACACATCCGTACAGTAGTGCTGGTCTAATTACTTGCGTATAAAGTAACTTTTTGTTTTTAAAGTTGAAGTGATAATTATTAAATAGCGGCTTTAATAAATGTAGAATCTTAGAGCAGGTATTCCGTTTGTATTTCAAATGTTTAAGCCAATTGAACCGTTTGTCAAAAGTGACCCCCAGATATTTTATGCTATCCTCCCACCATATCTCCGTGTCACAAACGTTCACTCTTAGAGGATGCTGTCTTCTTCTTCTTGGTTTAGTTAATGTATTTCAAGTTCAAAATGTATGTATTATAGTATTATAATATTCTTATTATTTCTGCGCAAAAAATATATATTATTACAGATCAATTAATTTACATTGTATATTTTGTATCTGTCAAACTATAAAAACTGTTTTTAAAATTGTATTAAACGAAATATTTTAATAAATTATTTTTCTTTCAGAAAACTTCATAATCTTTATTTGACTTCTTAAAACAGTATATCTGGGATCTGTTCAGATATTTCCTCAAACTTTTAGTATGTTTTAGTTACAATTTATTTTATTTTCGACTATTGGAAGGGTTCCTTATATTGGATACATACGACAGTTTTAGAAGTAATTTTAGCTGTCAAAAATTACTAGCAGAAAAATTTGAAATGACAGTTTAAATTAAAATCAAAATTCTCGTGTGAATCTAGTATTAACTATAACGCAATCCATTTTCTCGTACATATATTTATGTTTTTTTAGTTATGTCTGGAGGCTTGAAATATATGCTTTAACGTTAAGTTTTTAACCATACGTAATTATACAATGTCAGTATATGATATTCATCGGGACAGAAAATTACACCTCTTTGTGTGTTTGTTAATATTCATATTGTTTTTAATGTTTATTTTCTTTTTATTTTCTCACTTGGTCGAAGTGATTTTACAATTCTAATGTATATTATTATTTTTTCTTCTATATGAATGTTCCAAATGAATCTTTAATCTAAGTTGTGTTCCAAGATATTTAACTTTTTCATTTTATTCTACTTAACAAATTTAGTATATAAAATTCATTAGAATAGTTTTCTAACTATAAAATCTATAATAATACAATAAAAAATACCGTTATTAAAACGTTTACGAGCTTTTAACTTTCTTGACAATTTAAAATATATGTAACTATTGTATGCTAATAAAAATTAAATTCAAATAAAGTTATAATATGATTTCAATAGTTTAAAAATTTTAGGTTTTTCATATTTTTCAACACTGGTTACCAGTAGTCACAGTTACCAGTAAATCAACTAATTTCTTAACAGTTGCGCTTAAATTATAAAACCTACTGTGATTTGAAGAAATTTTATTTGAATAGAATCTTGAACTAAATTAATACTAAAAATAAGGTTAGCAGAAAAATGTAAAACACTTTAATGAAGAGGTTTTTATACATACATACTATGTACTGGTATTAAAAAAGAGGTAATAGCAAGCAAGCAAGCAACATTTGATTGCCTTATAAGATTGTGCAAAGGCACTCGTGGTTTTTTCTTTCAGTACTTAACCGTATTGAGTGTATTTGAGCACACCATACAATAAAAATGTCTTTATATATTTATATGTGTATGCTTATAATTATTGATAAGACACGACTTGAATAATAAGTACAACAATGACGTATCCATATATATATAGGTATTGATAACTATTATGCAATAATTTTAAACGTATATGCATATATAATTAATTTGTAGCAGTTAAAGCTATTGAATTATGTATTCTTATATCATCCATAGTAGTTATATGTCCATTTAATAAATGTAAACAAAACTAAATATTCTTTATTTAAATATCATGAAGTGGTTAGAAACCTGCAACAAAATTACTACATATGATTTCCATTGTAGTTTTCATTTTATAAAGAATTGACATAACTTTAGAGGTCACTTTTACAAAACGATGATGTCATTGTTAGCATGAAAGCATCATTAACAAACAATCACTTCGTCGCTGGAGCTTCGTATTTGTTGCTAGTAGAGTTTGTGGAGTGTTTATTTAAGCATAAAATTTTTTTATACAAAATTACTTTTATTTTATCATTTAAAAAATATTTCAAATGGAGAAATTTGAAATTATTTTATAAAACTTACAAAATGAAATTAAATTCTTTAAAAAATTTAGGAATGAACAGGGCAAAAAAATTTTTTAATTACGATTTCATTCCCCCGTTTTATTTGGTTAATCAGCAAGCTAATTATAGAAATTTTTTTTTATTATCACTCCAGGTATTAAAATAAACATGATAACTTTTTATTTTTTCTTTTAAATAAATTCGTTGAAAAAATTGCCTCTCTTCATTAATTGTTGTAATGAAAAATTTAGTAGTAATATCACTTCATTAGGCTTTTATACAATTCATAAAAATGTTCATTTCATAAAATATTACACACTATAACACTATAGTATAAAGTAATGTACTTTATTTAGTATTTAATGCTTTTTTTAAATTGTACTAAAATGTTTATATTTTATTATTTTCAATCATTACATTTTACCGGGAAGACTCGAGGAAATAGCATGGCTGTGAACGATAGCAGCAAAAGTATTTCCCATCAACATTGTGGCTAATGTTTTTTCGCTTGCAAAATTTACACAGGTGAAGTGAAATGTAAAAGGTCTGTTAACTATTGCCTATCTATGGTATGCAACAAAAAACAGAAAGAGAACAAAGTGAAAGACACATTAATTGCTTTTGCTTATTACATTATTACGATGCGTTTTTGCTCTGCATACCCATACGAATTGTTTTGATTTTTTGTTTCCCATAACTTTCAAAAGATATAAATTCAAAGTAACGCCTTCAAAAGCTCTTAATTTTTAAATAAGAAATATCCGCTTCACATAATTACTCGATATACAAAAGTATTATGCTCATGGATATTTTTATATGTGTATTTTCCGAAGTCTATGTTTGTTACTGTTTAAAAATAGAATTTAATTAAGTAGAAGAAGAGTCAAGTGCAGTTGTGACCCACATTCAACTCGTAGTAGCTGCTTCACTCCTACGGGATATGAGATGCACTAATCTATTAAAATCGAGAGCCAACAAACGAAACGGAAAACAGTTTCATTTTCATTAGAGCATTAATTTCGGCAAAACGCAGAGATGTGTAATATAATACAATTTATTTATATTAATGCTCTTCTTGTTTCGTATATAAATATAATAAAATGGGATATCCATTTAAAATATTAATAATTCTCAAAGTACGGGTTATAACGGCAAGTAAAATTGCAGTAAACGGTAAATGTTGTAAAAAAGTTCAACCAACGTACATTCAATCGATGGTGATATCATTCTTCGAATTTCGAACTTACCAAAACACAATTATTCTAACTAGAATTCTACTCAATAAGAAAAACTAAAACAGGGAGTGGACTTTTTTTATGCTTTGCATGTATGTTTGCGCAAGAGGGTTGCCTTCGAATACTTCATGCACTGCTTCAAAAATTGACAAAATAAATGCCGAAATAAAATACTAAGAGACAAATTATTCAATTGATTACTGTTTTATATAATTGTTTACAAATCCTTTTATATCGGCAAATAATATAACAATTAAATCTTGATGAACTGCTGACGTTCATTGGCCAAAACACAATTATTTATCAAATTTTCTTTTAAAAGTCTTCTTACCCATTTTATTTTTAACACAACACTAACACCAATACTTCTTCAAATATATTCCTTTATGAGTGTGAGTATCTTGTACAATTCTCGATTCCAATTCGCACTATCTTTGCCACCTTAGTTCAGTGATAGATATATGTAGATATGTCTTTATATATCTATTCAAATATATATTTTAAAATTTTCGTAATTGAACTAAGAAATTTTACAATTGTATCAAGTACACATTATAATTGCATATTATTTATTTAATAATTTCACATAAAATCATTGAAAACGACACCTTATTTTTTTTTGGGAAAAACGCACCGTTAGAAGACCTTTGCGATCGAGAGGAAAAATAGCACTGCTGAGCATCTTAATCGAATAATTTTGTCGTGCACAGAGTATTCACACAGATACTCACCAACACAAATGTTCTGTGTACAGTAACTTCTGCGCTGCAACATACAAAATGTACGCCGTTCGCAAAACGAACTTCTACAAAAAGTAGTAAAAATCAAACTCTTATTTATTTAACCGATTCGAAAATTGCATGACAGAACTGAATACCATTTAAAAAGCTTACATATACCGTTTCAAAAATTATAACAAATATAATGATATATTGATATTTTTTCGCTGTTACTTAAATATCTATATAATACCTTTAAACAAATTGGAACAATAATTAATTAATTTTTATGTAGAAAAATTTTTATTGTATTAATTTTATCTTCCCTTTTTTTCTAATTTTTATACATTTACGATTTCTATAAGCTAATATCAATTTTTAAAATGAAATTTTATACAATTAATTTCATTTTATGAAAAATAAAACTAAGTCATGATCAATTATTAATTTAAGCCCTCTTATTTAAAAAAACACGTTTATTTGGTAACCAGTGATAACATCAAACATGAAACCCGATACCCTGATACCCTAGTAGCTGAGGCTACTAGACGCGGCCAAGAACGATTCACGTCTAAAATGGCCAAATAAGTAAGAAAGTGAGAAAAAATAAAAAAATATTAAAATCGAATAAAAGTAAATTTAAAAATGCATAACTTATAGGTAAGTACCTATGTAGGTGAGAACCTACGTTTCGGAGGTGAACGTCCATTCAAATCAATAAATGGCACTCACCGTACACTTAACGTTGCGATCAAGGATGTTTGTTTATAGAAACTATATATGCATAACTAAATGGAATCAGTCGTCATACAAAATATAGAATGCAACTATTATTCATCAAAAATTGGTTACATAGTTGTTGTTGTTGTTCTAACCCGCCGGGACCTGAAAACAGATAACATGAAAGGTTGGGGAGGGTTACATAGTAATAAGTTACACTGTTGCACAAATATATGAAGACACCAGACGTGAGAACCAACTTTGAGGTGTGTTACTATTAATTTAAATACCATATTAAAGAGTATTTATGTATTTATGAGTAATAGACAAATAAATCGCCCAACAACGTACAACATAGGTGTTGTGTTTCGAAATAGAAGTTTGAAAACTCAGATAATTATAAGTCTTTAACAGTTAGCAAATATATTACCGACAAACGTACATTGCTAAGTCATTTATGAATATGAAGAGTGTATATACTGATTCAAGTGTCTTATTTTATATGCTTCAGTCACAGCGACAATAAGACTTATAATAATTTATTAATTAAACTATAAATTTTGTTGTTTTAATATGAATGTGGATTTTATTATGTTTCATACATTTATTATTTTATATATTTTTATTATACGATTTCTATAATAACATTACCAACAAAAAATATATATATAATTATTTAAAATTCCAAAATTGTTAAACAACTATAAATTTTCTTATATTCAATTTTAAATATACATTTTATAAATTAATAAAAATCTTAATTAAGTGTGCAAAATTATGAGAGACTCATAAATTAAAACATTGTTATACGATGTAGGATATTAACGATTCTTTTCCTCTACATCGAAATTTTGAGAGCAATAAAATTTTTTATTGAGGACAAACGCTCCAATTTTTAATCGTTTTATATTAATTTAAATAAATTGTGTTTAAAAATTTTTTCTATTTAAAAATTTAATAAAATGGTTGTTGTTAAACTTTGAACGGATATGGTATTCTATTGAACTATATATATGTATATATATATATTTATATATATGTATATATATATATATTTATATATAAATATATATAAATACATATATATAATATATATATATAATATACACATATATATATATATATATATATCATATATATATATATATATATATATATATGATTTCGCTTAATTACATTAATTTTTTAATCGTTTATCAATTTTTAATCTTTTATGTAAATGTAGTATAATTAAACAGTATTAGAAAACTACTTTAACATAACGAATTCGAATTATCATGTATGGGATTATGATACAGGGCTTAAAAATTACTTATTCTTCATCAGTGTCACCATCACCATCACTTGAATATCCTGTTAGTTGTGGTCGCCTTGCAAATGGGGCTGTTATGACTTGCCTATCTCAAAATGATAATTAGCTTTGTTTGATAGTCTATATAAAATACTAACGCTATTCTCCGATAATGATTAAGCCATTCTTCAAGCATCTGTGCGACTAACAAAGGTCTTTTTCGTAGTTTTTGTTGTGCTACTAAGAGACCACCTTCTGTCACGCATACATCAAGCCATTGTCTCATAATCACTTCCTCACGACCCATCTTATAAAAGAATTTATATTAAATATAGTTTGTAATAAATATAAATTTGACAATACCTCGCACTGCTTTAAAAAATGTATTGGTAGTAATTTGGATTCACAATCCATTAATGGTAAATATGTTACATTTTCAGGTTCTTCTCTTCGCGTATCAATTCGAACGTATGATTCCATTGGCACTAGAGCACTGAAATGACCACGTGTGTACCCCAGTGCTATTGGGGATTTTATACAAAAGTTAACTTCCCAAAATAATGGTAGATAGAGACCTAATAATGTATACATTTATGAAATTTAATTATGCGAGTGTTTAAATCATTCTTGCCTTCAAATCGAGCGTAACCAATATCTTCACCACGAAAACTTTTTACATATTTTACACCGTATACAATGATTGGTCTACGAAGGATGTGAGCTAAAGCGAATATATGCAATTGTTCTAGCGAAGCTCCAGGTTGGCTGGCAAGTGATAGCAAAGTTGCCCAATCTTCTTCCCATTGAGCCTCTTCCAGTGAAAAGTGCAACATAGAAGCCTGTATCATTTCATATTCTCTCCAACGCGCATAAAAACTAGATAATAAATAAAATAAAAATTTAAAGTACGATCAAATAAGCAAATGTTGATTTTTTTTTTGTAGAGCTAAATTACATCTTTTTAAAAACGTAAAATAATGTTAGTTATATATCTAGTTACTAAAAATGTATTGCAATAAAAATTTATTGCGGATATTTAGATAAAAATGATACTTCTAAACGCATCTTTTTTATTCTCTCTTGATAATGATATAAGAATCTTAAATAATAAAAACAAAAACTAATTTCTTACTTATAAGAATCAGATGCTGTTTTATGAAATACCGAAAAATTTATCGGGCGATGTATCAGTAACTTGGCGTACTTTTACAAAAACATATATACATATATAATGTTTTATTAATGTACCGAATTACCAAGCACGTATCAAACTCCATATAAATATTGCAAATAATAACAAACAATTGATATCAACAGTATGTTAAATGAACCCAAAATGTTATATATGGTGTTACAAATGTATGTAATGGTTATATAAGTAATAACTGAAAAATCATTATATTATATTGAATATAATATAATCATATTTCTGCGCGTTTTCTATCTATAATATTTTCATACACAGATCCACTTTGATGTAAACTATCCGCTAACGCACGTCGCAATGTATTATCACGATCAAACACTCCCCATGTAGCTTGCATAGCAGAGTCAAGCAAACAATCACCAGCACTACGATTCCATAGAACTAATAATCGGGAACCTAGACGTGCAGTTATTTCATTCGACCAATTAAGTGCAGGTGGCGGATTTTCTAGTTGTTTCTGAGCATCACGATCCAATAATTCATCGTAAAGCTGTTCTTGTATAGGTATTGGTAATTCTTCAATATCTACAGGTAAGGCAAAAGTCGCATGTTCTTGAACGTAGTAAAAATTAAGAACTGATTTTCGTAAACGCAACATATTCGAAAAATGCCTTCGAATATCTGATGCGAGATCAGGAGCTACATACGAAGGTACGCGTTTAATACCTGGACCTGTGCCAGAAATCTGTGCTAATAACATTGGTAACATTTCTTCTCTATGAAAACGTATTGCCAAATGTATTAGAGTATGACCAACATCAAAAGCAGAATTTCGATTTAACGCTGCTATCTCAGTACTCGTTAGTGAACGTGCAGGATTACCTCCACAAGATAAATAGGCTTCGACTGCACTATAATCATTTTCTACTACACCTAAGAAATAATATAATTTATTGAGCAATTTTAATATAATATTATAGATAAATTATATATTCTTACCTAGGCAAGCATTCAACCACTGCCAATCAACTTGTCGCCTAATTTGTCTTTGTCGCCGTTCTTGACGCTCTTGAATTGTATCACAGTTATTTATGGTTTCAGAAGAACCTTTAATAGATAATGTATATATTACAAAAAAGAAATTGCCATGTTTATAAACATTTTTGATGTATTTTACCTAGTTGATAGACGTGTTTATTATTAAAGGAATTATTTGTAGACACAGTGCCTTCATTTTTATCTTCTTCGTTTAAAAAATTGTTACACATGGACGAGATTTGTGTTGATTCACAATCTGTTGTTACTAAAATATTGGTATTTACTTCTCTCGTTTTGCCACACATTGAACATTTTAGACTCTTAGGCCAATTTTCATAAGTACATATCTATGTGAATCATATGTGAATGAAGAAAAATATGCAATTTTTTATTACTTACATTGCACGCCCACTTTTTAACATAACAATGCTGTTGCAGCGAAAGAGAAGAGTTCTGTTGAGTTTGAGATGAATTGGCAATGTTGTTGAGATGGGTAGTAGTAGATTGTTCAAAAGGACTTGTGCTGCGATTTGATGCAGCCCCAACGTTACAATTATATTGTCTAATACCAACTTGATCAATATTACTCTCTGAATTCATTTGCAAATCCATTATATTACTGGCATTCAACTCTAAGTCCTTTGAGTTCATTTGCATACTTTTCATACAATCTTGAATTCGATTTACAGTCAACGATTCTTTATTATTTTTATTAAATGTACTCGGAGTATCATTATCGTTTATTATACTAGAAGAAGCCTCTTCTTGCGAATCAGTCGAAGCCACGTCTATAATATCTGTAACAGCACCACGTTTAGTATAACATTGTACACAGCTTAAGCTACGGGGCCAATTTAAATAGGTACACATCTTACAAGCCCATTTCGCATCGGCTGATGAATACTGAGGAGTTATGTTTGTATCTGGTCGGTTTTGTGTGCAGCACGCATTATTAGTAGATGCCTCAACGTCAGCCATAGCGCCTCGTTCTTCATCATTTTCAAATACAGTTTGTGGAGGACTTAGTCTATGGAAAGTAAATTTTAATGAATACAATTTAAACTGAAACTGAGTTTTTTCTTACCGAAAAATATCTTCATTAAGAAGAGGTTTGGACCCCTTGCACATTGTACATTTTATGGACGATGGAAAATTTTCATACGTACAGTAATCACAGGTCCATTTATGCACTTTTTCTTCGCTTGAATCGCACATTTTTTGAGTGCGAACAAGGATGTCTCAAAATTTGCCAGTAAATACTGCTGTTTAAAGTTATCAGCTCCCCTTTAATTGAGTATTCATAAAAAATTTTTCTTTACAGTAAATTTAATTGTGGTTACTATTAAGTTTGTTTTTCAGTACATAACGGTTGTTATATACATTAAATTCCTTTTGTGATAATAAAATCTTTTTAAAATAAAATAATTAATTCATTAGTACCCTTGACCCTGGTAAAATATAAAATCTGGGAATCAATGGTAGTTATTTAAGGAAATTTTAACAATGGCATTGTCATACAAAATACAAAATCTCGCACAAATCAGTTTTCACACATCACTTTGTTTTTAGTTTATTTAAAATTATACGTATATGTAGAAAACGAAAATAACTTAAAAAAGATGTACGATATGAATAGCTATATATTTACAATTACAACACAAACAATTACAAAACAAAGCAGAAACTTTCACTGAATGTTTAGATCAACTGTTTAAAACACAATTACTGCTCAATTCCATTTTATTCTTTTAATTATTAAAAATTATTTACCAAATTTCTATATATTTAAGTAACCAATTTAAAGCAAGTTAATTAACAACAAATATTTCTCTGGGTAATATGAAATATATGGCAGAAAAATATTTTTATAAGCTGCCACTAATTTCTTCTTTCACATGACATATGTATGGTGTTGCCAGAAAGTTTGTCTAGTATATGTTTACCATATCGTAATATATATATGAAAAACTCATTTTCACTTGCTGCAGTATTTTTTTGACTTTCCAATTTATCATAAATATATAAAATTAACATTTTTTACTTTCTTATATCTATTTCTTTATTCTTTATATTTTATTTAATAGTATTTAGACACAAAAATAATGTTATTCTATCAGATATATACATGTATACCTAATTGACACTTTCCAGTATATTTTGTCAGACGATCTGTCAGAGAAAAATAAAAACAAAATAAATTTCGGTTTGATAGTGCTAAAAGTAAATCGAAATGGTAGTTTTATTGATATCACACTATCTAACACTAACATCGGATACTTTTTTATTTTCTATTTATATTTTACTTCGTTTTAATTGTATTTCTTTCACAGAGTTTATATAAAATACACAATTACAAAATTAACAAATAAATTATAGATTGCTTAAATCAGTTACCATTTAAATTAGATTTAATTGATTATATGAAAATAATTATAGCGGCTTAAAATTAGAAGCAAACAGCTGTGATTGTCATATAATCAAAGCAAGTTTCGCAAGGAACTCTTAAATTAAGTAACCCTTAAGTTTTCGATATAGAACACTAGAGTGTAACTTAACATTTTAAATTAATTAATATCACCTTAGTATTAAATTAACACTTAAGTGTGTGTTTTAAATTGCCATTTAGTGTTTGTATTTTAAGGTATGTGGAAAATACAACTCTATTCAATTATCGAAATAAGTGCTATAGAGTATCTTGTATGCGATAATGAAAAATATAACAACAATAGACAAAAATTATTATTTCACGTACATTTTGTGGTGAAAAAACAAATTTTATGAATGTGTAACGTATACAAAAATAATATTTAATTATTTTATACAATTTATACACTAAATTTACAAACTGAACGAGTTTCATTGTCTGGTAACTTTTTGATAAACAAAGAAAAAGGCGGACGAAGAACAAAGATCAGCAAAAACAAAAATAGACTTTTGTGTACGAAAAATAAAAAATAAATTTCTTTATATTCATAAATATAGTTGCTTTGTTATTATTAAACAACAATTATTAAATAAGAGCTTCGATAACTAAGTATTACTTTTATAATAACTACATTTAATAAATGTACTTATTTTTGATATAGTACAATTTAAAAGTTTGTTTTCTAAGTTTTTTGTGGACTGAAGGCATTGCATCTTATTACTCATATATAAATTATAACTTAAAAAATAAATCAAATACTTTTTAAAATTCGAAATAATTTATATAATTTATAGTGTAAATAGTTCCAGAGAAAATGAATATTCGGACAAGGGCACTTATATTTTCAACATTTTTTGGAAGTTGTGTAGCTCTTGGTTTATTACTCGTAAGCCTCACAACGAATCACTGGGTTCGAGCTACACCACGTCGTAGTACTGCTCCGGTATATATATTTTTCATTCTGAATAATAAGATATTAATAAATATTATTTAAAGGAATCAAAAGGTGAAGTAAATTATGGATTATTTTACGGCAATATAGATTTGGATTCTGGCATTGGGTTAAGGACTACCTCTGTTAATGGTAACGCATTTCAAAAATATTTTTTTATTGTTTTATAAAGAAATCACTTGTTTTAAGTTTACACATTATTACAAACGGAACCTGATACAATGAACTTTTGGTTATGGTTAATAACTACACTTAGTACCGGATTTGCTTTGTTGAGTTGTGCAATTGGTGCAATTGCAGCAGTCCTCAAAGCGGCTTCTGCAGCAAGAAAACGTCCAAGTATGGTATTACTTTTTGCATCAAATATATCTGCTGCAGTCACACAAGTTGTTGCTTTTATAACTTGGCTTGTCCATTTTTATCAATATCTCATACACAATGTTCTTACTGTGAAGGATATTGAACTTAAGTGGTATAGTCATGGCCTTGCATATTTAGGTTATAGTTTCTATTTAGTGATCGCATCAACATTAGTTGTACTACTTAATCTTATAATATTACTATATGCTAGACGGTCGGAAGTACGCAATGGGCATAGACTGGAGCCTCCAAGCGAACAAAAGAATATAAGCGCCATTATGCTTTACTAGCAAAATATATATTACTATATAATTTTTAAGGAAAACCTCACGCATCTCAACAGTAATTAATTTCTAATAATTAACTGCCTAAAATCTTAAGGAAATACTTTATAGTACTGTTAACTTACGACATTATTTTAAGTATAAACTATTTACGTAAAATATACTCATTTTGTACTTTCTCAGTGAATATATGTTAGTTATTCTGTAAATGGGTTTAAAACGAAATAAATTGTATTAAATAAAATATTTTTATTGTTAATTTATTCTTGCCGAGAGTGATGCGCCTTTATGACAAAAATAAACTATTTAAAAATTTGTATTTAATTAGTGACACCAACCAAAGCACTTGCTGTGCTTTAAATTAGAACGAGCTTATAAACTACAGCTTTATTTGGAAACACAAGTTCAACGAATTGAAAGTGAATTTATTAAGTTGCCTATTTTTTGTATCAAAGCTATTCTTTTGTAGAGACATCTGTTATGCATATTTTTTACTTACTATATGTAAAGCGCCTTTTTTGGGTGCAATTTTACAAAGAAGCAAATGTTTTTCTGAACAATATTATTGTTTATATTTCCTGCAATTCTACTGATGGTGAGTACTTGTTAATACTCGAAACAGCGTTGTATGGTCAGTCAAATTTCAATAAATTAACTAAAATTTTTGTCTCTCTCTTTTGTTTGCTATTCGAATCCGTCTAAAATATTTTTAGTTAAAAATAATTTAATACGTATTTTAATTTTTAATATATATTTTCAAAATTTTGAGTTTTGCATTATGAAACCAAATTAAGTTTAAAATCATATGAATTATTTGTTGTATCAATTATTGACATATTCAGAATATTATGTTTAATAAAATTGTAGTGGAGCATCGGTTTGTTCCAAATTTATCGTACTTATATGACACGCTTTTTGCATTAAATATCGACTGACGTTTAGTAATATAATGTTAATTACATTTAAACTAAATACCGCCAGTAATATGTAAAATGAATAATTCAAATTTGCATGATTTTCCGATGAAAATGTTAATTCCAGCCGCATGGTGTCTGTGATGGATATGTTATTTTTGAGATAAACGTTAAATAATGCGCTCCAAGTTGATAATGTTAATAGTGAAAAAACTATAGCTGATCCATTCCATATATATAACCCAAATATGTTATAAATTTGTTCTATAGGATTTGTGTAAAAATTAATTAAAGCAAAAACAAACGAGCTTAAAGTAAAAACATTTGTCAGGACAGTAAATATTAGAGTACTTATCCAAAATCCGACTGGTATGAAATGTGACCTCATGTCAGTGTTCCTCTTACTCACGGAAAATGTAACATCTAAAAAGAATATTATTGCTGAAGCTGCATAAAATGTGATTAAATACAATATTTGCTATCTCTACTGAATATGCTTTTTTAAGTTTTTAAGATTAAATAATTTTTAAGGTCCATATTATGCATACAATCAAATGATCGTCAGTCATTACATTTGTTGTTGCTTTTAATTTTTTAATTTGCATCTTAAGCACCCGCAAACGTGGGATTCTTTTGCATAATATGTCCCTAATTGATGTTAAAGTTAACAGAATTTCAATGTGCATTATATTTAATATATACATAATTTTATTTTTCCACTTTTTTACTGTATTTGAGGAATTTAATTTTAATTGTTATGGCAATAAATAAGAGCATAACTTTCAAACAAAGAATTTACGTATTATAAATACAACAATTTTGTTCACTATGACATCAATACTAGTAATATAGTTGATAATATTATTGCTTTGGTATATCGTTGGACACAACACAACAATGAATTACCCGGTGTGAGTGAATCCCTATGGCGACAGGAGTAACTTAAAACATATAATGTTTTATTAACACTGTGCTTCAATCATGAAATATAATGTCCTGATTAAAGTTTTTCTTTACATGAATAGTAAAAAAACAATAATTACACTACGGCAAAAATAAAACTTGAATTTTTTCCACCTTGACTTACTTTATAACCGAATGTACAAGTCTCCTCAATTCCTAGCCCTTTATCAAGACGACATCGTCTGCGTCTCTTCTGTTTTACAATCGTGTGAATAGCAACCCTATGAACATAATTGTCTGAGTCTTAGTCAGTAATCCCTTTCTCTTTTCCCCTCACTTGTTTTGCAAATTTGACTTATATATATTTCTTATCTAAATACTCAGCTTTTCGATATTCTAATGTCTCCATTTCCCTCGATTCTTGAAATACTGTTTTAGCTTTCGACTTTATGGTTCAATGACTAGTTTTAGTTATGTTTTAGGTAGATGTAATTAGTTCCAGTCTCACACCGAGGTTGATTTGAGGCCAATAACGGGTTAAAGTTAAAAAATTATGGTTTGACAATCTTAACATGAAATTTTAATTTTAAAGGATTCAAATTTCATGTCTTCATCAAATTTATTACGAATAAATAGATAAATACTTTTACCTTAAAAATTCTTCTCAAAATTTTTCGACTTGCCTCTTAAAAGTTGGGCTAATTCTAATATTTCTTGAAACCCTGTAAAAAAAATCCATTTTAAGATATATTTAAAAAATCCATCCTTTTGAGAGGGAAGGAGAGGATTTTGGACAAGGATATCCAAGGTAAAAAGTTTGTTTACTTATTAGTAGTAAATTTTCTGAAGGTACGCCATTTATGTGTCTTTAAATGAAAAGTCTTTATTCTTTATTTATGGTCTCAACTTTTCAACTTCAATCAATTATTGCCAGAAATACAAATGTCTGATAAAAAAAATTTCAGATTCACTCCGCAAGTGAAAGAATTAAGTATTTTGAAGAACTATCACTGTTGGTCACATTACAAAAATTATAGAAAATATATTTTATGTACTTACTGTTTTGGTAAATGTTATTGTTTTTATTTTCACTATAGAGTCTTTTAGAAATAGCTTGTTCGCACGGTTCTAACCCAAAAGTACCATTTAAAATTTTGTTTAGTTCACGTTCTCGTTGCAATTGTTCTCTTTGACAACTATACATGCATACACCCTCCTTAAAATTGCAAACAACTGTTTAAAATATAATTTTATAAATTATAATTATAATTGTTTTAAAAATGATAATACTCACTGGCTAAATTAAATTGAAGAGTTGCTGCCAGTTGTTGGCGCAATAGAGTACCTGAGAAGAGCCCGTAGTTGACGCGACTTTGCAAACGTTCTGTGAAAACTGCAGTTGCATCAAGCTAAAATAAATAATAAACATTTCCATTTAAGTCATTAGTTGTACTTTTTAATAAAAAGTTATACCCAATTATTTGTTGTGAGTCCTAATAACGAAAGAATACATGACACACCTGATACAATACAAATTGAACCAATAAATTGGGTTTTTATTTTAGCCATGGCTCAATAAACGTGTATTCAGAACTATAAATGTTCGTGGCCTATGAGATATTAACTTTAAAGTATTCAAAATGACAAGAAACTTTAACACTCTTATCTTATCTTACAGTTTTTGACATTTATTGATTCAATAAATTCTTCTTTTGTTTTGTAGTAGATAGTGAAATATTCTTTGGATATTGAAGAGAGACTTACAGGCATCAGCACAAGTAACGAACTCAAGAAAAATGCTCATACCGAATTATGATGCTTTTATGTACCTAAAAAATATTATAGGTGTACTTCTGAGTCATAGTTAGCTCGAAATTTTGTGAAATATGTCTAATGACTAAACATTAACAGACATTTTTTGATAAGTCTAAGAATAAATAAAAAAGGTGATTGTCAAATATATTTAAACTTATTTTTTACTGTAATATACCTATATGAACTTTTATAAATAATAATTAGTATATGATGTTGTAGGCCAACAGTTCATATACACATTAATCATTTAATAACTACATTGTTATCTGATTACTGCTCCTCACACACACATCGGTATATTGCACCGATGAACATCCTATTGGAACTCCGAGGAATTTCGCTGGTATCAGTTTAAGTTATGTGTTTAGGGATAACTTCCCCCTTGGTGAGGACTGTACACTACTACTATCAATATCTAAACTACTTACTTTTCAAACCAATTCAATTATAAATATATGAATGAACTTTGTGTTACGAGAGCCGTGATCAATCCAGCAACAACAGTATCATCCGTTTTGTCAAAGATCATTTTGGCATGCTATTCAAAGTCAAATGACAATATACTGAAACAGATCTTTAAACGTACACAAAATTTTATTAAAGCACGAGAAAGGCCGTTGAAGATATGAGTGGTTGAAGATATATTCGAGATTAGGAATTGCAAGAAACTACTATACGTCAAAAGTGCTTTACGAAACACCACTGAAATGGATGGAAGCTTTACGAAGAGGCTGGAAGAAACGGGACAGTTATTACTGAACGTTTACATCATAGGCTATGTCACTTGTGAGTAAGATAATCAGACTATCAAGGGTACTCAATTCTTGATTAATAGCCGAATTGACCTCTCCCTGGCTCGTAAAAAATTCACCATCAATAAGATGAAATGGGCAATATCCACCTTCAGCCCATTTAAATTCCCTGGAATTGATAAAATTCAACCATGCTTACTACAGTCATGGCACAGTGATGAGTCCAAATTGGAGGACGGTGGCGCTAGAACGAGAATTAAAGGATCAACATATGTAGATACCAATATAAGCCTCCTCTCAGACAGTCAAGCAGCTTTGAAATCACTAATGGCATTCACATTCACATTCCAATCGAAGTTGGTTTGATTGTTTTAGTTTTCTTAACTCTGCTATGGATATCTGTAACTCTGCTATGGATATCGGGACATGAGTGGCACGAAGTCAATGAAAGGGCGAATGTCCTGGCCAAAAAGGGTGCAAAAACACATTTCGTAGGCTCCGAACCTTTCTGTAGTGTTAATAACAGCTTCAAAACCAGCGTAGTAAGTGAAAGGGAGAAACAAAATCTAATTGACTTCTGGAGAGCCTAAAAAGGCATGTGACAGTCAAAACGCCTTATTATTCCTGAAAATATAAAGGCTGAAGCTGTTCTGAATTTAAGCAGAACAGATATCAAAATCTATACGGAATTGCTAGCAGGCCACTGTAGACTGTGATACCATCTGAAAAAGATTGGTCCAGCAAACAATGTTTCCTGCCGACTCTGTCAAAAGCAACAGAAAACAGGCTAAAGGCTGAAGCTGTTCTGAATTTAAGCAGAACAGATATCAAACTTTATATGGAATTGCTAGCAGGCCACTGTAGACTGTGATACCATCTGAAAAAGATTTGTCTAGCAAAAAATGTTTCCTGCCGACTCTGTCAAGAGCAACAGGAAACAGCAAAACACGTTCTATGTGTCTGCCCAACTGTGGCAAAACACAGATTTAACTATCTAGGCAGTGGAGTTTTAAGCACTGAACACCTTGCTAAAATACGGCCAACAATTGTGACAAAATTCTTCAAAAGTTTGGAATTGGACGGATTGAGCGAAAGGCTGCACAAAAAAATCTTCCGATCGCAGTGCATGCATAACCTATCCATAATAATAATAATAATAATTTTGATGCTTAGCATTTTCTGATGTGACTTAAGTAATTTATATAGGAATACCTTAAGGTATGTCCATTAGTACCCATACTCTAAGATTATCCATACTCTAAGATTAGTGCTTAAACAGAAACTTTATAATGATATAAATATTGTAAAGAGTATCAACTGTAAGACCAATTACTCTGAATTCCATAGAGAGTTTGAAATTTCTTACTTAGAGCACATGCTATTTGGGAAAATGCTTTCAAGGAATCAGGAATCTTTTCATATTAACTTTTTGTATTAATAAAATGTGTCAAAATAGTATCCTCATTTAATTTCAATCAATTATTCATTATTCATTTTTTTGTGATTCAATTCAATGGAATATTTTTATTTGTTTCATAAGGAAGTGGAACTCACATGTCGTTTGCAAGTTATAAAAAATCTATTAAGACATAAAAAAGTAATCTGTAATCTGGCATTTTGCCTAACAAGCCAATCAACTGCATTATTCTTCAAATTGAGTTGGTCTTCGAACAACCAAAAAGAATAGTGCATACATAAAAACGATCACAATGATATTTTCTTTCTTCCTGTTTCTTTCCTATTCAGCCTATTTTATTGTTTTGCAAATATAGAGGAAGTCTTCCTTTTACTGCCTTCCTTTCAATTACATTTTGCAGTTCTGTGTCGACAAATGACAACTGTGATCTTTATTGATCGTAAGCAGTTAAGTTTTGGTATGGACAAATTATGTCATCATTAGATTAAATTGTTTACTAATTTTGATGGGAAAACGTCACGGGATATCACAACACCTAAGCACACAGCACAGGATATAGTTTATTTTGTATTTATTAGTTTGACCGCAGTCATAAATATCTGTTCCACTAACATTTTGCATAATATATTGTACCACCTACTGTTAAATAAAATTATAAATTTCTAAATGAATTACTTATTACTTATTATAAATTTTATTTTCTCTTAAAACTAGATTTTTACATAATAATGCCATTAGTTTAAAATTTAATAAACTATCACAGTTTTGCAAATTTCAAAGTCATAAGACTTGATGGTTCATTGATACCACCGACATTATAACTCATGATATCCCTTTTTATACATTTACAACGGGAAATATATAGAATTAATATATTCAACTGTTTTAGTGAATCTCATGATTCATAAAAGACTTTTATATACATTTATTTAAAAGAAAAACAGCTTTTATAGTGTATATATAATGTACTTAAAAATAAAAAAGCGCAATCTCAAGGTAAATATAGCCGTTGAAGAAATAAGACAATCTTTAGATCCTTACCTCCAATTTTCTTCATTGGCATGAGAACAATGAAACCACAAATCTATTGAGTTATTAAAGTCTGATTCGACATTTAAACCGTAAAGACTCAATTAATCTTTTTGGCAATTGACAATCATATATAATATTTAAATTTATTTTATTAATTATTTATTAATTGTTAATTTCATTTATAAATAATACATTAATGTTTACAAATAAAAAAATAATTTTTAACATAAAAATAGCAACAGTTAAATTAAAAATCTCCTCTCGCATACCCAAAACCTTTTTATTCACACTGTATCTCAATATTATCCAATAGAAATAATAAATCTGTCATGGATGAACCTGTATCTTAAACCAAACTGATATAAAGAAATTGTATGTTCTTGTGATAAATTTCTTTGTGCCATACTATCCACTTTTCCTTCAAGCAATATAATAACTAAAAACAAGACCTCAGAAGGTGGTCTCTACTAACCCAAATTTCGCAACAGCACACAACACCGAAATGATCTGTTATTTCGCCACACACGAAGCAGTCCAACTGGCGAAGATTGAAATGTTTTCATTCTTACGTTAAAGAAACTTTTGACATCAACTAAAGAATGAAATATACCAAGAATGTCTATGTTGGACTCTGCAATTATAAAAATATTGAATGGTAATTGAATTGTGAGAGCCAGGAAAGCCAATTTAATATATATTCCCTACCAGTGAAATAATGAAATAAAATAAAATAATAAAATGGAGAAATTTCATCCCCTTCAAGTGAACGCAATTAAATTGCGGATACTCGTTGGTGAAAGAATAGTTTTTTTGCGAACAACCAGACCATTGTGTGTGTGGAGAGTTTGCGCATCCAGGGAAAGCAAACATTTTAGAGGTGACAAGTTCTTTTGATTGTAAAATTTATGGGTGAAATGCTTTCTATACATATTATTGATATGTAGCCATACTGTCTGGAGTTGTCCCATTTTTATGTGCAATTCTTCGTTAAACATTTGTTTGCGGTTTCAAGAAATGCTTTTATTATTTAGAAAAGTCTATAAATATGTTTTTGATTGTAAAAAAAAGAAATAAAAATTACATGCTTTGTAGTTTCGATCTTGAGAATGCAAATCTTCAACTTGTGTGGCTAAGATTCAGATTAATTCAGTTACATATACTCGTATATGTACATTTAGAGAGCGTGCAACGCAACATACCTTTCAAATGTTCTGTCAGTTCCAATAAAATAATTTGCAAAGTAAATCCTTTTGTTGATAAGATTCTCAAAAGGTCAAAAATAGTGACGCTTAGTCAGAAAAATCAACTACAAAAATAAACAGATTGAAAGATATTTTCTTGATAATAAAAGAGTACCAGCATAAATTGATAATGTCGTTAGAAAGTAATGATAAGAAAATATCGATCAATACAAACAAGAAATAATATTAGTTTGATTGTCCTACAAGTATTCGACTTTGCAAATTGCTTCATAGATATAAGATAACAGACACTAATATTATAAGATGAACTAATAAAACGACACAAATTAAATAAAATGCTTGAAAACTTGATTACTAATTTAATGTGTAATAATGCTAACATT